CTCTCTGTCCCCCCTCTCTCTCTCTGCCCCCCCCCTCCCCTCTGACTCTCTCTCTCTCTCTATCATTTTTTGCATAATTTCTAGTTATTTTCCGTAATCATTCTTTGTTAAAATTAACAGAATCGCATAATTTCACATTTTTGGGCTCAAAAATCAGTTTGCATAATTTCAGAATTTTTCTTGCATAAAACGACGGGGACAGTCTCATCATTCATCGCCCGACGAGTTGTCATAAACCATAAAAAGTAAATGTCTACATCATTACAATATACTTAGATCTATTTTTTTTTAAAATTAGTAACAATTTAGATCGGACCCAAACGTTGTGGACGAGCCGTCATGATGATGCATTCGTCTGTCGTTCGCCTATTGCTTCCCGAGCAATGACGAACAACCCACTTGATTGTGTATTTTTTTTAAAAATCCCACGGCCTTTTATCTTGTCCATCTTCTTGTTTAACAACAACGTTTTTATCAACAGGAATTGCACTTGAAAGTTGAAAGCGTCGAAGTGAAGGGCAAAACGGGACAGCGTTCCTCGTGTAGAACTTTCTGATAAGCAACTTTCTCAATTGCACTGTCCCCGTGGTTTCATGCGCCCCGCATAATTTAGCAAAATTTGATCTTTTTTCGCGTAATTTCTGATTATTTTCCTTTATCATTCTTTGTTAAAATTTGACAGAATCGCATTATTTGGCTCAGTTTGCATAATTTCAGAATTTTTCTTCTTACATACAACGGCGGGGACAGATTGCAACACTTAATCACCTCCGAAATATAGGCTATATGTATTTTATCCAAAGCGTAGCCTACTTGAGTAAAGAGGGCACTTTGGACAACACAGTTCTGGGGCGACGACTCATTGACCTGCATCAAAGTATCAGGTTTTGTATTACATTGTATAAAAAAGAAGAGGCTGGACATTCAAATTTAAAGCCCATACCCAATCATCATAATAATATTAATAGTAATAATAGTAGCTGCCGGGGAAAAGGATAGACATACATACTTGATGTACATGTGTGTATGTACACGCACTCTCACATCAACTCTCTCAGCCGACCAACCCCACCTTGCCTGTCCCCGGCGTTTTATGCAAGAAAAATTCTGAAATTATGCAAACTGAGCCCAAAAATGTGAAATTATGCGATTTTGTTAATTTTGATAAAGAATGATAAAGGAAAATAATCAGAAATTATGCAAAAAATTATCAAATTTTGCTAAATGATGCGGGGTGCATAACACCACGGGGACAACCAAGCCTAGAGTGAGCTTAATTCTTACTGTTGTTACTCTATTAACTATATATTCTAGTCTTAGGGCTACATGTACTGGTACCCCAATCATGACCAGACTTGTACAACAATGTGGGCGTGCGTGCATGTGTGACTCTTGCCGCGGCAACTGGGTGTAAGTCTGTCCCCGCGGTTTTATGCCAAAAAAAAATTAATGATCTGGAATTATGCAAAAACTGAGCCCAAAAATGTGAAACTATGTAATTCCGTTAATTTTAACAAAGAATGATAAAGGAAAATAATCAGAAATTATGAAAAAAATTATCAAATTTTGCTAAATTATGCGGGGTGCATAAAACCACGGGGACATAACTGTGCCTGATCTACAACAGGAAACTGCTGCTTTTTTTCTGTATCCTTACTATCATCATTCCCTTTATTTCTTTTGTATATGTTTGTCACTCTCTTGTGACCCGCTATTTCCGGGGTGCCTTGATAGTGGACACAGACCTTGTGCTGTTGAAGCTAGAGAGGTGAGCAGAATAAGTCTGATTCCCTGTAAGGACTTCTCTGTTGACACACACCCCTTGGCGTTCATATGACCTTATGCAGTTGCGAGCGCTGTAAAACCCTCTACATGTACTATTTTTTTTTTTTAAATCCTCCAGAGCACCCACCAACCACCCACACACCTAGACAGAGAAGCTCAGGACGTCCCTCAACTTGAGTGTCTGGGGCGTTTCAAAAAAGACATTTCATTCTCAGTTTACAATTACAATGGTATCGGAGAAGAATGGTTGATTAAAAAAAATAAATTTGTAAGCGCTTTACGGCGCTCACAACTGCATAAGGTCATTTTATGGGTGCGCGGGACACACACAACAGTTTCAGTTGTTAGGAAATTTAGAATTTTGCCCGGGTGCCGGCCAAAGCCTTCTCTTCAATATTAAACCACCAAAGGATCTTTAATGTGCGCAATTTGCACACTGGCCCTCCAAGATTTTTCACCCTTGTCCGAGAATGCTAGGTGTAGATCTTTCTTACCAGAAGATCAGGGGTGTGGCTGAAAGACAGCAGAAGGAAGGAGCCAAGGAGTAGCAGTAGAGAGGCCGCAGAAAGTCAGTAAGAGTCAGGAGCCCAGAGGAGGGGGCAAAGAAGGTGCGGGGGTGGGGGACAGAAAGAGGAGACGAAAGCAGACGACTGAACATTGCTAGAGAGGGAAAGGAGGTGAAAGGAGACAATTTTAGAGAAGATAATTTTTCGGTCGCTACCCGGGACCTTGGAATGAGAGGCCAACACCTTAATAACCCCTATGCCTTGAGAGCCCCCTGAGTGGTTGATTGAAAGGGGCGCTAAACTTGAACCCATAGAAGAAGCTATGGAACCATTGCCAAGATACAGCAGATCTAATCCAGGATCACACAAAGGCAGCCTGATGTTTAAAGCACACACATACAGTGGAGTAGGCTACTGGTTAATTCCTAAACAGAAGGGAAAATAAAATCCCGTACCATATTAATATATTATATATCAATGGCTAAAGCATAAAAAGTGACTATATCCACTTTTCAGTTTCAATTTTTAAAAAAAGAGTTTGAAGTCTCTTATAACATATCTTTAAAAAACCTGTTAATATCTCAATACCGCATTAAGCTACGGCATAGATATTTACAGAGGAAAAAGTAAAGAGCGGCTTAAAATAAAATCTCACAACACATATTGACCAAATGTGGATATAGTCACTTCTTGCACTTGACCATTGTATATAGCCTACATGATGTATGCAAAGAATCCACTGAAGTCTGTGGTGTGGCAGTTAGGTGCTTCACTATTGGACGCTGAAGACCCAAGATCAATACCCATGTGAGAAGAATTTTTATAGCTGACCTCAACCTCTCCGCTGGGATGTTGTATCTCTCACTCTCAGTCGGGCCAGCCCTAACAGACTGGACCGAAACCCAAACGATTTAAATTGTGTCGATAGGGGTGTAAAAACACCTACAAGTTCCTTTAAAAAATGTAAAAACCAGACACAGGAAAGTTTCGTTTTAGTAAGTGTTTTACGACACTTGCAACACAATAAGGTCATTTGAGGGCCAAAGATTAGAGGTGTTACAAGAGAGTGACAAACACAAAAAAGGAGGGGAGATGGAGACGATAGATAAGAGTAACAAGCACAAAATAGGAGGGGAAGAGACCACACCAGAGAACCAGCCACGGACGATAGATGTTTGACAGGAGAGAAGGAGCAGACCACACCAGAGCAACCACCGACAACACATGAAAATCCACAACAAAACAAACATATGTATTTACGACCATTCATTTTTATTGCCACTGTGACAGACCAGGTACAATATCCTTGTACTTGCTCACACGCCAGTGTCTCTAGAAGTTCCTGTGAACAGAAAGAAAGAGATCTGATAAGTCTAGTGTCAGCGTGCACCGGGGTGAGGTGTGTGCGCGTGTGTGTATGGTGTGCGTATGCCTATGTGTTTGTGTGTGCTGAAGTGCACGTGTTTGTGAGTTTGTGTGTGAGTGCTGGATTTCACTTTAGAAAAGATGAAAACACGGGGACCTCCGCGACACACACCACACAGCTCAACACTGTGGGAGACGCTCAAGCACAATGAGCATTGTTTTTTCTTCCTCCACTGTGCAGGTTTCTGCCATACCGGTACTTCTAGTTTTATTGTAATCCACTTTGAGCATCTCATTAGATTAAAATGGTGGGGGAAAAAAAAAAAAAAGCTAGACCAATGCAGATCAATCTTTTTATAGCTAGCACCCACTTTTGTCACCTAGAGGCTAAAATTTTCCCATCGCTCACTTCTACGTCAAAAGCATTTCCCAACAGGGAATTAAATACCACCTGTCACAACAGGGATAAATCCACCGTCCATCAAAACCCCCGAAGCACCCACAAGGGGGCGATACTGTCCATGTTGAAAAGCACTGGCCTACAGCAACAAGCACCTGCCAAGTTGACAATAACAAACAACAACCCCCCCCCCCCAAAAAAAAAAAACAACAACAACCCAACCAAACTTCCCTTGACTTCGTTAAAGTCACACAAATGCACAGCATTTTCAATGTTCACAAAATCACTGAATGCGACTTTCAATTCCACTGGGGCTATATAGTAAAAATAATGCCCAACAAACAAAGAGCATCTAAACCTTTCCTTGTCAGCAAAGTCCAAAAATGAAAACACAACTGAACAGCTATGTCACAACAAGAAAACTAAAAAGTTAAAATTAACCACTAAAAGTAAAAGATTAAAAAAAAAAAAACCACGAACAGAAAATAATTAAAAAAATTCAATAAATAATCAAATCTGAAGAGTTGGCACTCCATAAACCAAAAACACCACCAAAGGCAGTACTGTTGAATACAAACATAATGAAAAAGCAATTGACGCAAAACCATATTCCAAAATAGCTTCAATTCTGTACAATTTAGTCATTAATGACAAATATGACATGGGGAAGCTTCCACTTTCAAACATGCACTATCCCATTGACGATCGACTTACTTGGCAATGACTCCATCTCGCTTGGCCAACCTGATGAGGGAATCGTCAGACTCGCCCTGATGACACAGACATTCAAAGTTTTAGAAAAGAGTTTTTACGGCACTTGCAACACAAACAGGACATATTAGTGCTGAAGATTACAGTTGTTACTTGATTGAGAGACAAAGATGATACGGTAGGTGTTTGATACGAAAGGAAGAGCAAACTACATTTCACTCATTATCCACTATGAAACAGAAAACAGAATGAAATTTTGGGTCTGTTAGAAAAAAACAACCCAAACAAAACAACTGTTGTTTGGTACCACTTTCTAAACGATATTCATATTCCAAAAGCCTCAACTTTGTGCCAATCAGACAACTTGATTAGGTCAATTCAATACGCCGACATCCAGGGTGCGCTTGAATTCCCAGTAACCAATGATGGCCCTCACAAACTGGGGACTGCATTCTCTTCAGCTGACAGAACTGGCGTATCATATCCAAAGTAAATACAATCTGGCACACACATATTATAATGAACAGGTTTTCAAGTCCCAATATATTTCTTACACAGATTACACTCGCCCCAGCTAGCATATTTTTATCCTTTTCACTGGTCCTGCTGGTGGAATGTCCCTTAGTCTCCGAAGATCAGAACATTGAAGTGATTGTGTTTCTGCAACTTTTCACAGAGTTGATCTTCCACTCCACCGACTGGCTCTTTTCGGGAGACCAGACCTACGGACCTTTAGTCGCCTCTCACAACACGCAGTATCAAAGACAGGTGTTATTTTATGCTCCCCCAACAACCGGAGCATGCAGCCAGGGTTCCTGCCATGAACTCCCCACCAAAGAATGATCGCCAAAATCGCATGAACAGTTTTAAAATCAACTCAGTATAACTGGATGATGTTTTTGAAAACAGCTTCAGAACCCGATGAAACAAATACTTGATCATGTATATTTTTCCAAACTTGAAGTAACAGATTATCCTATTTAGCATCTTTAACCATGATTTATTATATAAAAATAAATACACCTGGCTTCCGTCATGTTCTTATAAATATTGAATGTTACCTTCACTTAAATCTACTCTTCTAAAGGCGGCACAACGATCGGAGCCACCAGAACTACACATCACTACAGAGAAAGATATTTTCCTCAATTTTCAGTTTTAACAAGCATGAAGAATGAACAAGCCAAATTTCACCCCTTATGAGAATACCAAAAAAAATATGAAGGAGGAGCAGATCACACCAGGAGCACAAATCACACGTCTGCACATTCACAAAAGAAAAACACATGAAGCGACAGTGAGCACATGGCACACCTCTGTGATTGGCCCAAATATAGACAACGTATTTCCACCATCTCATCTATTGTTGTCGTCTTCTAGGGCTTGCATGAGCAGTTGACTAGATCTCACCGTTGCGGGCCCACTTTGCGGCTTAGCGTGCGATGAGCTACGTCACTAGGTTTCATCGCCGACTGCTTGGGCGGAGTGTGTGTGTGTATACAATTTGAGGAGAAGGTAAATTTAGGGAACGAGAATTGCTGAGGTTGTTTAAAAAAGATAACACAAATTTTTAAAAAACCCAACAACATGGAGAGATCTAGTCAACTGCCGAGGAAAACCCAGGAAGGCAACAAAAATAGATGGAAATACGTCATCTGTAATTGGGCCAATCACGGAGGTGTGCTAGGTGCTCGCTGTAGCTTCATGTAAGAAAAACTATCATGACAAAGAAAAGTGAAGAGGTCACGGTGGACCATGGTTCGACACCTACCATTCTACGGATGGCTCCACAGATAGCGTAGGTCTTGTAGGCGCCAGTCATTCTGCCAGTTGTTTCATCAACCTGAAATGGAAACAGCAAAAATGTGAATGAGTATTTTCAAAGAAGAAAAGTATTGGGACAATGACATTCTTTATTCATCTTGCAGGGAGAAATTTGTCTCGGTCATTTACAATGGCAGTAGATGCGTTGTACCCCTTAAACTGAAATCTACGGAACCACCTGATTTTCTTTGTGGTTTAGAGAGGTTGCTCACATGCAAGAGAATTGGGGATTTTACTTTCTTTCAGTTTACTGCTTGTGGTGACATTTCTCTTGTAGCCTCCCTGTTCACAGTGTTTGTGAGTGTCGCTCTCTGTGTGTCCTGTAGCTGTGTCCATTCACCTGTGTAGCACAGTCGGTCACTGTCTCCCATTAGAACCAGTACAAAGTTTTGTTTTTAGAAGTATGGCTAATTTGTCTTGCTTTAAGACACCACTATTCCCTGATCAACTGTGTTTGGTTTCAGTGGACTCCACTATATACCAAGTTCCCCACACCTTACAAGCCCAGTCACATCTAACTCAAGTCAAATAGTTAAATACTGCTCCAGTTCCCAAATCCAAAACATGAAAGTCTTTAAAATGTCACAGCCACGGTTCTAGAATAACATCTGAACTGAAATCAAGACAAACAAGCACTACACTAGTAAATAATTTATAAACATGGAATTTTCAAATTTTAGAACACTACAGAAAAGGAATAGACCTGTTTGTCAAAGTCGATTTTTGGTATGTGAAGAAAGTTCATCATCCCCATATTATCAGCTTGCCCTATTTTTTTTACTGGTAGCCAAGTTTCACTATTACTGACCAATACAAAACGCTGTAGAAGTTTGAGAGAGTAAGTGACCTAAAATCTCATGGGGTCCAAAAAAAACAACCCAACAACCGAGCAGCAGAAGTGATCTAATTCCAGCTCGCAGGAGCAGACTTGTTTGGCAGAGCTAATTGATACAACATACCTCAGCGATGTTCAACTGGATAGAGGCATGGTCCTTTGCAGCAATGATGCGGTTACTCGCAGAGCTGTAGAAATCAAAGAGTACAAAAGTTTTTAGCAAAGAAAAGATACAGTGCACCTACAATTTTGCATTCATAGCAAACAAAGCTCACCCTACCTGCTAAAAAAGAAAAGCAGTCGAAAACATTAGCGAAAGTGGCAGATGTGGTGCGCTTTGAAGATTTTTTGCGGCTGCGGTTTGTCAATCTGACCGATAAGTTGTACACCATCTTTCTTTATTCCCTTAACCCTCTGCGTGCGCATCACGACCAGTGGTCGCGATGACTTATACTTCCCTCCTGCGCGCATCGCGAGTGTAGAAACTATACCGCTGACATGAGAACAGCCATTTTTTTGCTGGTGACTACAGTCCACCAGTGCAACGTTTATTAGAGCCGCTGGCCGCACATTTCGCAGTCGGGGATCCGTATGGAGTTTTTTATCTGCAATTTGTGGGGACATTGTTGACAGTTTTCATTGCAACTCTTTAGATTAAATTCCTTGCACTGAAACACCTCAAGTAGGGCCTATATTATGCCGTCGAAATATCAATTCCGATCTTTAGACTCAAGACGGCATACCGTATACTAGATTCTAGGTATCACTTCCAATGTTCAGACAGCATGCCGTGGAAATATCAACTACGATCTTCAGATGGCATGCCGTCGAAATATCGCTACCCATATTTACATCAGTATCAATATCCAGTAGGCTTACTCTTTGTGGATGATGCCCTAGTCCGAACAGACAGAACCCAGATTCTTAGTCTTTAAGTTGTACCGATGTCCCCTCTCTAGATCTAGTAATTTGAAGTTAAGAAATATTTGAGACTTGTGATAATGACAGTGGATAACAGTTTTAAAAAGCAGGGCATCTGCATACAGGGAGAGTCAGGAGAGTGAAAGTAAAAATTTCGATGTGACTATTCGGACTCGAGTCCGAATATGAAAAAATGTTATTCGGACTCTTGATTCTTGTCCAGCATGACATCACTTCCGACTTCCTGTGACTCGTGACTCCGGCTTCCTGTCCTGCCTCACTCGTGACTCGCCCCAGGCTGGGTAGAGACCAGGATCACTTCGGGCAAAATGGCGTTTTGTGCAGGAGCCGAGTTTTTATCTTATGATGAATTTGAGGCCGGACTGAAAAGTTATAGATCTAGCGCTTCTAATAAATGTTTATTTGTCAACAGGTCATCAGAAGCAATTAAAGATGGCTCGTTAGCGCGTGTCCGGGAGGGGCACTATCGGTCCGGGCATTGAATGTCGCATACACGCCTGTCTTTTTTCCCCCGGCAACTGATCATTAATACAATAATAAACTAGTCTTGACATAGATCTATGTAATGAATTGTGCGCTGGTCTGTGGAATCAAAAGTTGCCGTATGCTCAGCTCTACACAACAACACAACTTCTTCTTGGTAAACAATTGAGATGACACAGGCTTGCGTATTTGAATGAATCTGTCTTTTTTTTCCCCGAAGTGTATACAGACCCGGTAACCGGGAACAAAGTCACGAAGTATACAGACCCGGTAGGGGAACTCTTTTGTGATGTCGGAAAGTTTCAGCGCCCAGACCCGGTAGTGTGTGTGTGTATGTGAGAGAGAGAGAGAGAGAGAGAGAGAGAGAGAGAGAGAGAGAGAGAGAGAGAGAGAGGAGAGAGAGGGGGGGGGGGGGGGTGACTGCTCGATTGACATTATGACAGTTCTTTTCTTCACATTGTGATTCCTCCAACTCCAAAAAAAAATGTTATTCAGACAAAAGACGGCCTAAAAATTTAGCCGACCAAATCATGAAATTTCAGAGTAAAAAGAGTTGAAAACAATTCACACTTCTTTGTTAAAGCCAAGTTAGTTACTTTCCTCAAGATAGTGTCATCAGACAATCAACCAAAAATGCACTTTTCATCCCCCACCCCACTCAGTTACAAACATACAACAAACGAACATGAGGGACGGCAAAAATCAAGCCTGGATTATCATTGCCCCAGGCCTATCGATAATAGGAGTGTCAATGAAGAACTACAACTCACCATTTGCGGGGAAGGAAAAGATCAACGAAATCTCCTGCGTCGTTCTGCATGGTAATTGCTGTTACAAATCTGAAAGAAAATTGAAGAAATTATTACCAAAAGAAGCTTATTATTAAGGAATTAGTGGAAAAAAACATAGAGCTCTGAAAATTACATGCCTTCCTGATCACAACGGGAAGTGGAAAGGCCGAAGAAACAAACATGCGCATTAGATCTAATGCGCATTCAGCACACAGGAATCGCTTCGGTTTTGGGGGGTTTCGAATTTTCATTACAAAAGACAGCGATGAAAAATTATTCTAATTAATTATTTTTATAAATTATCTGGGGGTAGAAACAGCACAACTCCTAAAAATGAGGACTGTGAGTAGGAGGACGAATCAAGAATATGTAGATATTTCATATAAATGCATGAAGGCAGTATGAATATACAAGTAATACTATTGATACGATCATTATATAGCGCAGTAATATTATAACATAATACATAATATTACATCCTAATATCATACTCTCTCTTCATTTGTATTCTTACTTACGTTTGCTTTTTCCAGCCTCTGTCAAATTGCAGTGAGGGGAGAAACAAACGTCTTTTTCTCGCATGTTGTATTGCCTATTCATGCACGGTTATGTTGTTCTTGAAAATGTTTCTCTGCCTCCCCCCCCCCCCTTTCCCCCCTCCCCCACACACAACCCATATTATTTTTTTGTTTGTTTTTGGGAGGGGGGTGCCCCTTTAAATTCCTTTCCTTCCATGATAATACACGTATGACACGTAGTGTAGCCAAGCCATACTACGACATTATTTGGTGTGGTGTTGTACCTCACAGCTGTTGTGCTGGAAGAGAGACAAAGGAGACATGAATGTGTTTGTTTAGCTGTTGTTTCTAGACAGCCTGCTGTATGTGGGAAAGCAATGAGAGTCGCAGGTCGGTATATAAGGCACACTGAATGCACGTTTATTTTTATTTTCCTCAGCTCCAACTCCTTTCTTTCTTTCTTTCTTTGTTTCTTTCTTTCTGAGCTTGTTCTTTGCGGGGTATAATGTCGCCCGCAACAACGATCTCCACTTTGTAAATAGGCCTATCAACTATTTTCCCAGTCCAGGTTGTAGATAAGTAGATCTACCTGTTTTCTCTCCATGGTGTCGTCTTGCCAACTTTTTTCTGCTATTCCTCTTGATCAACCAGATGTTCATATCGTCAACTAACTACATGTGCATAAACGAGAGCATCAGTTTTTCATCATCATCATCATCATCATCATCATCATCATCATCATCATCATCATCATCATATGTTTGAATGTCCAGGAAAAATGGCAATTCGAATTGAGCTATTTGGACGAGTGGAGGTGCCGCTAAGCATATTGACAATGGAGCCGAAAAAGAGCCTCGCTCTCGCTCGAAGATTTCTTCGTGAAGACCGTCAGGCCCATTAAGGAAACAAAAAAAATCATCATCATCATCATCATCATCATCATCATCATCTTCTTCTTCTTCTTCTTCTTCTTCTTCTTCTTCTTCTTCTTCTTCTTCTTCTTCTTCTTCTTCTTCTTCTTCTTCTTCTTCTTCTTCTTCTTCTTCTTCTTCTTCTTCTTCTTCTTCTTCTTCTTCTTCTTCTTCTTCTTCTTCTTCTTTTTCTTCTTCTTCTTCTTCTTCTTCTTCTTCTTCTTCTTCTTCTTCTTCTTCTTCTTCTTCTTCTTCTTCTTCTTCTTCTTCTTCTGAGGAGGAGGAGGAGGAGGAGGAGGAGGAGGAGGAGGAGGAGGAGGAGGAGGAGGAGGAGGAGGAGGAAGAGGAGGAGGATCAGGAGCCATGCAGTTAGTAAGTTAGTTGACTCAAGGCAAGAAAAGATGCAGTCTACTGTTATAGATCAACATTCCTCCAAAGCGAAATAAAGATCAAAGAAAAAAATAAAGTGTGCACCCATAAAAGAGGTCACCAGAACCTGTAAGGTGGGGAAATGGGGGAAAAATCAATTGAACTTCACCTAAGCCCACACAAACGGCCGACGTCACGCCACGCATGAGGCTTATAGTGGCGTGTGTTGGTGGCCGAGTTTTTTTCCCTCTAGATTAGCTTATGTGTGTCAAGTTTCCGCCGCTGTCCCGCAGTGGCGGTGATAATCCTAACACGTTTCTTGGACCTCTCATGGCGGGTCTTTGAAACGAAAGTAGAAATACTGTCACTCATTTTGTATGATTCATTGGCACTCGGCACTCTTTTTTTCTCTCTATGTTGACACACACGCGCGCGCGCACGCACACGAACACACTCTCTCTTTCCCTCGCCCCTCGCCCCTCTCTCTCTCTCTCTCTCTCTCTCTCTCTCTCTCTCTCTCTCTCTCTCTCTCCCCCCCCCCCTCTCTCTCTCTCTCTCTCTCTCTTACTCACTCACTCGCTCACATACACACAAACACATACGCATACACTCATAAAAAATAAAAAATCACATAATTATAGACAACTTTTCACCACATGATAATTCACTATATATATTTCTTTGCGAAATGCACAGCAGGCCCAGATCTATTCCTCAATCTTTTCCAAATTAGCGCGTTAAATGCACGCTATTTCGTTTCAAATATTGTTTGGTCCTTTCTGAGATTAATTAATCCTTTCTTAGACCTTAGAATTTTTTTTTTCGCAAGTAGCCTAGATTTATTACGCAGTTCAAAACAGGCGTGGCACCCTTTTTTTTTTTTTACTCGTTTCGATTCGCGCTGGGGGGAGAGCAGATGAAACTAAACTGAGAAGTTATTTTCAGATTAGATTTCGTACGTGAACGTGTATCTCATTTTTCCTGTTAGGCCAAGTCTTGACACTGATTCAGGCTATTGTTTTTATTTCAGACGTGCGTGCAAGTGATCGTTAATAAACCTTCTTTTTGTGTTGGGCACGCACACTCTTGATCATGAGACGCGCACAAGCGATCAAGCCCAGCAGTCGGTGGCCTTCGGCAATCCACGGGTAATCCGGAGAGAAACGAGGTCGTGAACGGCGAAATACGTGGCAGGCGATTCCAACCTCTGTACAAAATGTTGAAACAACGCTAGGTTGGTTGCAAGACCTGCGTTTTAAGGAAGATTTTGTCAGAACGGAGTCATCATAACCTGGAAGCATTTGTTTAAGTCTCTAGTTTTCTCTTGATGTAGCTTATTGACAACAAAGACGTTGAACATTTTGGAGGAATCAATAATTTCAGGGGGAGGGAAAAGTACCCGCTTCCAAGTGGGCCAAGAGCTTCGTGAGAAACCTTTGAGCCACTACTTCCGGAAACGATAGTCCGACTTTTGATACGTGGACGGCACTGTCACTGTCAGTGTCTGTTTTATGTCAACACAAGGCAAATATGCCGAAGCAAAATGAACTTATGGATAAGGCGGAGGACGTTGCCGATCAGGTTAGTCTAACGGAGAGCTATAGTTTGTTTACCATCCACATTCCGTCCCCTTTCATCACCCGACCCATTGCATATGGACTCACGTTTGTTCCACTCTTCACTCACACAGCAGCAGCTCTCAATGCCAGGATTAGGATAGATCTACCGCACCTGACAACACGTTGAATTGATTTAACACACATTTATTTATAATTTAAATATGAGAAGAATCTGGCAGCTTATCGAAATTACTGTTGTCTAGATTGAAGAATATAAGAAGCTTGAAATACCACTATTATTGTGTTTACATTCAGCACATCATTTTTGACACCCGGCTGACACCATTCTTTCACTTTCAATGGATGGGGTATGGTCATGGAGTCGGTTGTGTTGCAGTGCAGTTGTTGATGTTGCACAGCCTTCAGCTGCCAAAGTCTTGTCATATTTATTTTTAAGATCTGAATAACACCATACTGATTGACTTCACACGTGGCGGTCTTTGCTCCGTTACCGTCCTTTTTTTTTACACCACAGACTAAGACTTAGACTTAGGCGTAAACAGTGAGTTCTGCACTACTCTGCACTACACTGACGACACACTCTTCACTCTACTTGTTGAACGTAGTACCCATCTAATATAATCTTGTTGATGAATTGTTCTTAAGTCTCAATCGTCTATACACAACAGACTACACAGTTAACACTTAATACTCTGGTAGCACCGTGTAGAACATTGCCAACTTGTTAATTAAGAAAGTGGCTATTCTCACCCGCCCGGAAGTTCTCGCAAGATCAACTCCTCCCCTCTTCTCTCTCTCTCTGTCTCTTTCTGAATACTGTCTATCGGTGTGGACGATCAAATTGACCAAAACAAAGTTTAAAAATGATGTTAAAACACAAAAGTAAATAAATTTGGTTGTCTACAAAGATGCTACGGCTATTTAACTTTTCGAATCGAGCCGAACTACGCGGGTCGCCATTTTGTTTTGCCCGGAAATTCTCGCGCTACTCCTCTCTCTCTTTCTCTCTCTCTCCACTGCCCACAGACAAAATTGTACGCTTTTAGTAGGCTACAATTGTAATGGAACGTTTGTTCACGGCACAGAATTCTACAATTTTTCTGTTATCACAGTGTAGAATTCTGTGGTTTAGGGTGAACGCAAAATTTGATGAACGCGCACCGGGTGAGAATAGCCACAAGACTCGCCTACACTATTCTCACTCCGGGTGAGAATAGAGGTGGCCTTAATTAAATTGATCTGGATCTAGTTGACTGCTGGGTTTGACACAGGCTGACTTTAAATGGTCTCTAAGCGAAAGAGTGAGATATTTTTATGTCTTGCTGAAAAATTGTCCTGGGATGCTGTCTGATTTTCATACAGATTATGACTGTCTTTACATGTAAAAAAAATCAAATCTCATTGTAACCTTCTTAGCTTTTAGAGACTTGCAACATGAGTTCCAGAGGGTATTCATTGCTAAGTTGTGATTTCTGTTCTGCTCTGGGTTGGGGATAATTTTGGGTTAGGGTCTGCATTCTTGTTCATCCTTGTACGGTAGTTAACTACGTTGAGCAGCTCTGGTGTGACTTCTAACGGACACTTCGCACCCTGTGCAGAGGTGGCCCATTTATTACCCCTGTGAGCTAGATAGGGAACGTTGAAGATGAGGATTATAATGGGCTTAAAATGTAGCCTACTTGTTTCTATTTGTACTGTAAATAGATGAAAGACAGTGCGATAAAAATTATACTTGCGTTTGTTTTGACATAGAAGACCAGTAGCAACTGGTGGTAAACAAAGAGTGTGTAGTTGGTGGGCTTACCTTTGGCTGGTCAGCTTCCACCTGATCCCTTCTTTATAATGACCATTTAACAGTTCCTGTATTTTTGAACCATTACCTGACCTGCCTTTAGTTGAACTCCCAAGTCACTGACCGCTTATGTTATAATTTAATGAGGCTGTCTTGGTGACTGTTTTGAGTGGGGTTTTTTTGCCCCCTGATCCTGCCGATTGTCATTGTATCACTTTCTGGTATTGAAGTGTGGGTGTGTGCATGTGTACGTGCATATATATGTGTACGTACATGCGCGCACGTGTGTGTGTGTGTGTATGTGTGTGTGATTGCGTGCGTGCAAACAGTTGAATCCAAAAAGGCAATTGTTTAATTGTTGTGTTTGTGTTTAACAGGTGCTCCGCCACACAAAGCACGTTCTTCCTCACATAGCCAGATTCTGTCTGGTCAGCACTTTCTTGGAAGATGGCATTCGGATGTGGACCCAGTGGAACGAGCAGAGAGATTACATGAACGTGTCCTGGTCCTGTGGATATTTCCTGGCAACACTCTTCGTCATCATCAACCTGATTGGTCAGCTTGCTGGGTGCGCCATGGTCCTCAGCCGGCAGAAAGTACCTATTGCTTGTGGACTTCTTTTTGGAATAATTGGTTTACAGGTAACTCTTCGCCCAAATCCTTGCTTTTGCTTCTTGTTAACCCAATGTAGAAAGAAAAAATCAAGAAAATGTGTTTTTTTGTTTTGTTTTTTTATGCACCTCTCTTGAACGTGAAAATTCTTGGCGTTTTTACAAGACATTTTATTGTACCTCTCTGGAAGCAGCAGGCAGGCGTATTGTTATCCTAAGGTTGGCTGTCCCTGATTATGTTTTGAGAGAGTTGACAGCGGGTGGTTGGCGGGTGCTCTGGTGTGGTTTGCTTCTTTCTATCAAACATCTATCGTCCTTATCTCCCCTTCTTCTTTTTTATGTCTGTTACTCTCTTGTATATGACCTTATGCAGTTGCGAGTGCCGTAAAACCTTTACTAAAACTAAAACAAGTTGACATGCCTGAGGTTCTACGTTTAGTTCCCCCGCTGTGATAATGGACTGGGAAGAAAAAGGTTCTGGAACCTGGAAAGTTGGGAAAAAAGTTCTGAAGCTCAAGTAACTGATAAATTTACTTATAACGTTGACAGACACTTATTAATTTTAAGTTACCCAGCCTTATAAATGCTCAGGGGGGACTGGTTGAGGTGAAAATGGGTTAAATATAAAACTTACAGTGCCTCCTGTTCAAGGTTTGTTTTAATGTATTGTTCTTTTCAGTGGCAAGTAGGCTGACCATTTTGTCTTATGAGTTTTGTCTTAATGTGTCCTCACTGAAGAGAAGATTGAGGCTGGCCAGCCAGATTTTCTTTAATGGATGGGTAAAAAGCTATCAATACTATCATTCTGACACAATACGACCCGATTCGACTTGTAGCTTTGAAAAACATGCTTGATTTTGAAGTTCATAGAGTCTTAATTTAGTTGAATTCGATTGAATTGTCAGAATTATTGCGTTTGCCCCATCCATGAAGGAAAATCTGGCTAGACTCGGCTCAGTCAGATGAATTCTATCTGCAGTGTGTACTGTGTGCTAGGACAATTTGTACATTTCTAACATACGTGTACATTTCTAACATACGTGTACATTTCTAACATACATTTTTGTCATCATCATTGTTTTTGCAGACAGTGGCCTACAGTATTATATGGGATCTTAAATTTCTCATGAGGTAAGTTAGTTGCTTTTCTGTTCTTTTTCTTTTATGTATATATATATATATATATATATATATATATATATATATGTTTTTTATATGTGTGTGTCTTAGTTGCTATGTCGTTGGATCTTTTTATTGTGTCGTCTAATCTTCAACACTTACCTGATACATGATGTATTTGTGTTGCTATTGGTGTAAAACATTTTCTAAAACTTAACTAAATAGTCGTCATATTGACCTGTTTCTCCACACTCAATTCCTACAAGTCTGAGGTGTTTTGTACCTTTACTGTAGAAACTTTGTACTCAAATTTCAACTAATTTGAAATGTTTAAGTGTCTTTACTTTAGTAATCTGATACTCAAATACCAACAAATCGGAGGTGTTTTGTAGCTTTACTTTAGAAATCTTATCAAATTTCAACTTATTTGAAATGATTGAAGTATCTTTACTTTAGAAATCTTGTACTCAAATTCCAACTACTTTGAGGTGTTCTGTATCTTTACTCGAGAAATCTTATAAATAATAATAATAGATAGCATTTGTATAGCGCATATCCCCGCTCAACAGCAGGCTCTATGCACTTTACACTATATTATACCACTCAAATACCAACTTATTTGAGGATTTCTGTAGCTTTACTTTTGAAATCTTATACACTCAAATACCAGCTAAACTGGATTTTTGTAGCTTTACTTATAGGCTACCACTCAAATACCAACCAATCTTTACTTTAGAAATCTTTGGTTATTCTCAACCTCCAAGAAACCTGAGTTGTTGTGTACCTTGACTCTTTACTTTAGAAATCTTTGGTTATTCTCAACCTCCAAGAAACCTGAGATGTTGTGTATGTTTTCCTTGCAGGAACCTTGCCCTGGCGGGCGGCGTGCTGCTGCTGTTGGCAGAGAACAAGACGGAGGGGAAGTCCCTGTTTGCCGGCCTGCCCTCGTTAGGAGAGAACAGCCCCAAGCAGTACATGCAGCTCAGTGGGCGCATCCTCCTGGTGCTCATGTTCCTCACACTTTTACGATTTGAGATGTCCTTCATGCAGGTCAGATGTCTGTCTGTCTGTCTGTCTGTCTGTCTGTCTGTCTGTCTGTCTGTCTGTCTGTCTGTCTGTCTTCACATAGACACACACACGCACACGCACACTCATTCACACACACACGTGTGTGGTATTGTGGTGGAATCAGGTGTTAGCCAAAATAATGAAGTGGAAGAAATTTGCTTTTTTCTGCTGACTGGGAAATTTTTATCAACTTTTTTTGTGGGTTTTTTTTGGTGGACTTTTTATTGAAGACAGATGGGCTATTTTTTCCCAAAAAAACCTAAGACAAATGAATGAGCTACAGCTCTTTACGAGTCTTACAAGACGACTGTACCAACCAATAACTCTGTTTGCCTCCCAAACTGACTGGCACCTGATTCCACCGTGTTGTGACAGACCTATGTGTTTTGTATGGATGTGTTCAAACGTTGTGGTTGTGTGTGTGTGTGTGCCAAAGGTTGGAAAGGTATCTTAAGTCCCTGCCGGTGGATTTTATTGAGTGTGGTTACCTTTTCTTTATGGCATCTTCTTGACGACGCTCATGTTTATTTTTGATAAACATTTTCTGTCTAAGATTGATTTTTATAAGGGCTATGTGGAACTCGTAGTTTTCTGTCTGTGAGTCTGTTGTGTTGTGTGGGTGGTTGGCAGGTGCTCTGGTGTGGTTTGCTCCTTCTTTCCTATCAAACATTATCGCCTTTATCTCTCCTCCTTCTTTTTTATTTTTGTTGCTCTCTTGTAACACCTCTAACCTTCGGCACTGATATGACCTTATTGTGTTGCAATTGCTGTAAAACTTTTAATAAAACTTAACACTAAAACTGAGTCTCTTGTTGGTAGGAACGGGTGCACAACATTATACCCCACCCTTTCTGGATGTTTGTTTGTTCCCAATATTGTCTTGATCACGAGAAAGTGGTTGGAGGGCACTATGGTCTAGTTTGCTCCTTCTGTCCTATCTAACATCTGTTGTCCTTATCTCTCTTCCTTTTCTATACATGTTACTCTCCAGTAACACCTTTAATCTTAGGCTGTGGGTGGTTGGTGGGTGCTCTGGTGTGGTTTGCTCCTTCTTTCCTGTCTACATCTGTTGTACTGATGTCTTCTCCTTCCTTTTTGTGTTTGTTACTCTCTTGTAACACCTCTAATCTTCTGCACTTATATGACCTTGTGTTGCAAATGCCGTAAAACACTAATACTAAACTAACCTTTCTTCTTCTTCCCCCCTCCCAGATTGTTCAAAACTTGATAGGCACGACTCTGATCGTCTTCATCGGCATCGGCTTCAAGACCAAGCTGTCGGCCCTGGTGCTGGTGGTGTGGCTGACGGCCTTGAACTGTTACTTCAACGCCTGGTGGAACATCCCCGACTACCGGCCCATGCGCGACTTCCTCAAGTACGACTTTTTCCAGACCATGTCGGTGATCGGCGGTTTGTTGCTGGTGGTGGCCTACGGGCCTGGGGGGGTCAGCATGGACGAGCACAAGAAGAAGTGGTAACTTAGCTAGGATAAATAAAGATAGATAGACAGAACGAACGAGAGAACGACTTCTAAACCCTCCCCCTCCCTCCCCTCCAGGTACTTTTGTTGAACGTTGTCAGCGGATCACGCTGTGTACATTGAGACAGCGACATCTTGTTTGGTCACGTGGGATCATGTGTGGACGCGTCAGTTGTGTGTGCAGTAAGAGAGATGTGTTTGAGTTGCTAGGTTATGTGGACAGACAATATGTTGTTTTTTAAAAATTTGTTTTTCAGGGTGCACAAGGGTGACATGAGTGGAAAAAAAATCACGTTCTTATGGCTAAGTGAGAGAATGGATGAAAGGGAAAGCTATTGCTGAGTTATTCCCATGAAGTTGAGAATGTTTTAAGGATGTTGTCGGGTCTGTGGAGGTGATGGTTCAAGGGTAAAGCAACATACAGCCTGTCTTCTAGTTAACATGTCCATTATAATTCAGTCCAGTACTGTTATTATTTTTTAAACTTCAAACCTTCAAGTATCATGGGAATTTTAGTTCCGCTTTCGCCTTACATGGCTGAGAGTATTTATATCTCTCTATTTCAAAAATATTTTTCCACAACCATTCTTTTCTAAAAGTATAAGCACTCAATATTGCAATACTTAGTTTTAGAGCCATTTTGAATGTAGTGAAGAGTTGAATTGTTTATTGAGAGATTATGAGTGGTGTGGAGTTTTTTAGCTTTAGTTTTTTGTTTTTGTAAGTGTGAAGAAGTTTTAGAATTCTGATGTGCAGGTTGGACGGTTGTTGTCCTGGCAGGTGTGATGGTGGCAGTAACGTTTGTTTTCTAGAGTAGAGAGCGTGTGTGTTGTAGTATTAACCAGCATTTTCTCACCTGGCCCTGCTGCTTTTTCACGGCTTTTGCACCCTGCCAATCAGATGTCTTAAAATAAGAAATGAAAAAAAAAGAGAGAGAGAAAAAGAGAGAAAGAAAGGACATCACACAATCACAGGCTGTCTTTTTTGTTTGTCGGTACACGACGTTAGGTGGTCGTGCTGTGTCCCCGGGGAAGTGTTGAACATGACGGCATTACTGCTTGTTACAGAATCTGGTCAAATGTGTGAATTTGTAATTTCATTTACATTGTGCTTTAATGTTCCTATCTTGTGTTTCCCTGTAGAGTTGAGCTGAGTTTGTCACAGTGTTCTTTTTTTAAAATTGCCGTGTGGATTTGTGATTATTTGAGTTGTTTTGTTATAGCGTTTGTGGACTGTTGTGTGTGTTTATGTTTTCTAAGGTCATGACAGTTGCTGGCGCGCAAAAATGTGGTTAATGTGGTTATACCCACAGCCCCAGTTCCCCCCTATGTTGTTCCGGCACAGTATGAGCATGACATTGATATATCTGCCCATTTACAATTGTACTGTGCATAAAAACATGTTAATAATAATATCCCCTCTTAGGGAACGGCCTAAAGACAACTTCAGTCAGTGGCACCGCCCTGGTCGGCCTCTAACTTTGTGCCCTAGCAGCCCAAAACGCTTCCTTCAGAGAAGCCACAAACCTTACTCCTGGATAGACTTGATCCTATGGCGGAGTAGTTTGGAACTCTGTGTAAGAAGCTGACTCACACACCCTGCCCACAAGCGTCTGGTCGCTCGCTGTGTTTGTTAAAGCGTGCCATAGGGCCAAAATCAAATCTGGTGTCGTGAGTCGTTTCTGCGCAAACTGCAGTCCACCACGGATGACTCAAACGTGTCGAGGATTGACAAATGTGTTCAACACATCTAGAATTTGGGTAAACTGATAATGAAAAACTAGAGAGATATCAATCGGGGAATGGCAATTCGAACGAGTTATCCTTGATCTGGAGTTTACCGTGTCACAAGTTTGTGTTATCTGTGCGTGGCTGTGTGTTGTTGACAGCAAACGGAGGCAGGAACTGACTAGCCACACGCCATGGACACTTGTCTGTCTCTTATTAGCTTGTGGCAGTGTTGTTGTGGTTTTTGGTTTGCATCACTATTGCACGGTCGAACCTGTCTATATCGGTCACTGAAGATCACAGAGAAAAATGACCGTTGTAGACGGATGGATAGCCGCTTACTTGAATTGACCGAGTCATCAGATGGTTGGAAATTATTGGAAGTCTTTATTGTATTCTTCTATTTCATGTCCATCAAAACTGTTGTCTATCATAAGAGTTTCTGTGCATCAAAGGGACATTCACATACTCAGTCTGAGGACGGGTTGGCGGAAAACTTTTGTTGCAAATGACGGCTGTGATGAGCTGGTTTTGAGGCTGACTTGTCACTAAAATGACTGACAGTGGCGGTCTACTAAGGACGGACTGCTATGGATGGGTTCATTAGAATTGTGGGAAAAACTCGAGGGTGTCGCAGAACACTGGCCGGTAGTACAGAGGTGACTGCAAAGCCAGGGACGACCGTGCTTTGATCATGGTTGAGTTTTGTTTTGTTTTGTTTTGTCAGTGGATGTCGTTGAAGCTGTTGATTGATTGACTGCTCCCTATAGAGATGTAACCTCATTGTATGATACTCTCCTTGAAATCTGTGTCATGTGTGTGTGTGTGTGTGTGCGCATGTGTGCGCGTACGTATGTATGTAAATGTGTGTATAGGTGGTGCTGTTGCATGCTGTGTGTTAATGTTATATGTTACTTACGCAAACTTCAGTTAGACTAATATTTTTCCCTCACTTATGTCACGGAATGGAGAGTGGGAAGACATGAAGAATATCATGAGGCTGGCTCACTTGGATAGGGAAAGGTGGCAAGGGTTTCTTCGTGGCTTCTCCCCTGATCTATGGGTCAGAAAGACATTGGTGATGATGATGATGATAATGTCACGGAATGACATGACAGAGGTGAAGGTTGCTTTACCCTCGTTCTTCTCCTATTGCCACGTTGGCCTCGCTGTGTGGTCTCAGATGGCCAGGTTGCCTCGCTGTGTGGTCTCAGATCGCCAGGTTGGTCTCGCTGTGTGGTCTCAGATGGCCAGGTTGGCCTCGTTGTGTCCCCCCAGAGCCATACTTTCTGTTTTTTGTTGACTCACACACCTAAAGTAACCAGAAAATGAAAATGGAAATATTTCACTAGGTTTGGTCGGTTGACTTTGTGCCATGGAGTTGAAAGGTCATCCCAAGTTGTTACGCTGGGAACAATCATCACTATACGATATATAAATGTATGGAAATCACATGGAGGTGATGGAAGCTTGGGAGCGGCTGTGTTTGTATCATCACCGCTGTGGGTTTTGAGAAGAACACTGTGCTTTGAGTGAGTATAGTAGGAGAGACACTTTTGTACTTTGGAAACTAACACGGTCTGCTCCGTTTGTCAGTCGCAAACTTGTGCAAGTAATTTGCAGGGGAGACGAGAAGGGAGACGGACGGACGGAAATGAAAAAAATTGCAGGCGGAGCTGCAGATTTTAGAGATGGCGTCTGTTGTTTCTGGGCTGTTTGTGAGTCGCTACTGCCATAGGCACATCTCTGCCTCTTTACTACAGGGTTTTCATGTCTTGACTCTATCAACAGAGGCCGGCTTAAATCATCAAACTTTTGTGAAAAAGGTCTGTGTTGTTGTGAAGAGAAAGTTTTTTTATTGTTTGGTATTGTGTAATTTACACGACATGTAATTTACATGAAGGTCATGTTGGTTTGATGATGTGAATGTTTCCTACATTTCTGATTTCTCCTGTGCTGACATCAATGTTTACACGACCTGATTATGTCTGTAGTGGTGTAAAACCGGCTTCTAATTTTTATTTGACCAAGTTGTCTCTATACTATAGCTGTGTAAAATATACCCTTATTAACCGTGCCGGCTTTTTCTTTGAGAAAACTGAGAAGGGCAGCCGTTTCCATATGTGCTGACCCTATTTGATTTGTTTGTTTTATTTTTTTTTTAAAAAGAAGTAAATGTTGAATTGTAGGAGTTGGATGATTTAATTCGGAGGAGTTGGATGATTTAATTCGGGAGCTGTTGGTATGATAAATACATCATGCTTTTTGTTGTTTTTTCCCCCCCATTCATTTCTGTTTTTGTAAGTGTTGCACCCGTCGTTTTGAGTTTTCCAAGTTGTAGGAGACTAGTTAGGGGTGGATCACCTCAGCTGGTTCCTCGTGGAGAGTGCGTCTGTGCTCAGTGTGACTCCTTTGACTGTTACGGTGATTTGTTAATTAAACTTATGTGCTTATTTATTCACCTGTTGGTTTTGTTCTTTGTTGAGAGGTGTGGGACGGACGTCTTGTGTGTGTGTGACTGCTTTACTCTTGAGTTGTTGTAGTTGTTGTAGTTGTTGTTGTTGTTGCTACATATGTCATGTATCTGTTTGGGCATTCCGTCAGCTCTGTTGGTATCTTGCTGGACTTCTGAGCAGATGGCCTTGGTTCAAATCCCAAACTGGGCGTTTTTGAACAGAGGGTCATTTTGTGGAGTTTTCAAGGTTCTCAACCCATTTGGTTCGGTCGTGTCGGAGATGGATGTTAAATTTGGAGGCCCCTCCTCTTAAATAGGCCTTTGTGGGTGGTTGGCGGGTGCTATGGTGTGGTTTGCTCCTTCTTTCCTATCAAACATCTATCGTCCTTATCTCCCCTTCTGGTTTTGTGTTTGTTACTCTCTTGTAACAACTCTAATCTTCGGCACTTATATGACCATATTGTGTTACAAGTGCCGTAAAACTCTTACGAAAAAAGAAAAAGGATGTTGAATTGGAGGTCCCGCCCCTTAAACAGGCCTAACCTAATTAATAATAGTGCTGACAAGGGCGTTAACAACAGCCTAAACACGTATCCACTGAATCTGATCTGTTGCTGAACAAGTATGGGCATTATTACTGTTACGTTACACCGTTATGTTATCTGTTTGTGCACTGCCATATGGGGCTACTACAGTGCTGCTGTCTGAGAGTGGAGGAAAAGATATCCTGTATCGCGTGGATGTGTGACAGTGTTAGGGGCTCGATTCCCATTATAAATGACTTCATGAATAAATAATGGGCTATATATAATATATACTCTATTATGTGTTATGGGATCGTGGCTACTAACTAGGCCTATACTATACGTGTATGTGTTTGATGTAGAAGAAGTAGGCTATTATATTATATATACTATAATACTAAATGGTCGCTTTTAAGGACAGGCGGGCTAACCCAGATTTCGCGGGTTTCCAGAAATCTTGACCTACACCAAAAGTGGGCATTGCCCTACCTAAAAAGGAGAAGTTTGGTTTCATTGGTGTGTATATTTGTTCGGCTATAGTAAAAATAACAACTCTCCTTGTCTTTTAAAGAAAGCGAACAAGGGGCAAAAACTTTATCTTCTATTTTCTCAAAGGAGCATCTTTCGGGATAGGCCCCTTGTGCTTAAAAGCGACCATTACATAAAATATGTGTTAGGGTGTGGGTTGTGTGTCTGTTTGTGTGTACTAGTCATCTCTGTCCCCGTTTATCTCCTAGCCGTGTGAGTGATGACAGCGTGTCCAAGTTTGTACCGGCTGAAACATTAAATTTACCTCCGATTTTTTTGGTCATTTCATGTGCTCAGGTGTGATGTTGGATCTTGTATCGTTGTGTCTGCTCGTTAACCCTGAAAGTATGGGTGGTTGGTGGGTGTGCTTGTGTGGTTTGCTCCTTCTTTCCTATAAAAAAATTATCGTCTCTTTCTCCCCTCCTTTTTGGGGGTTTGTTACTCTCTTGTAACATCTATAATCTTCGGCACTTACTTGACCTTATTGTGTTGCAAGTGCCGTAAAACTCTTACTAAAACTAAAAAGCTTCAAACATCTATTGTCACTTCTCCTTCATTACTTTGTATGATGTTACTGTTTAGTAAGTAGGTGGTTGGCGGGTGTTCTGGTGTGGTTTGCTTCTTCTTTCCTATCAAACATCTATCGTCCTTATCTCTCCTTTTTCTTTTTTATGTTTGTTACTCTCTTGTAACACCTCTAATCTTCTGGCGCTCATATGACCTTATGCAGTTGCGAGTGCCGTAAAACCTCTACTAAAACTAAAAACTGTTTAGTAACACCTCTAATGTTCAGCACTTATAATATAACATGTACATTTGTGTTGCAAGTGCCGTAAAACTCTTACTAAAACGAAAAAAAAAAGCTTCAAACATCTATTGTCATTTCTCCTTCGTTACTTTGTATGATGTTCCTGTTTAGTAACACCTCTAATGTTCTGCACTTATAATATGTGAGGCAGTGGTGGAATCAGTCTCTCGTCAATTTTGGGGCATGTAGAGTTATTGGTATCATCTTAAAGCTTGTTCACTTGTCTTTATTTAGATGAAAAAAATATCCGTTTGTCTTGAATACAAGTCGAGATATTTGCGAATGAAGGAGGAAGGGTTACATGTTTTCAGAGGTAAAATTAGTGAGAAAATGGCCGCCAAAGATTAGCTATTTCCTTAGCTTAAGAGTCGGTGGTAACAGAAAATGTACATTCTTTGTGCTTTTAATCAACGTTTTTCAGAAAAAATCCACACAGAAATAGTTCCTTAATGGGCATGAAAGGTGTCGAGTAAAAGCCCTCAAAGATTTGATAAAAATTCACAAATCTGAGGAAAAATGCAAGTTTCTTCACTTTGATTATTTTGACGAGAGCCTGATTCCACCTCGCTGTCTCACATATGACATGTACATTTGTGTTGGGAGTGAGGTAAAATTCTTATTAAACTAAAATAAAAAGCAAGTAGGCTACATAACATTAAAGTTCCTAACACTTTTTTTTTAAAGGCAGAGAATGATAATACTGTTTCCGAGTTTCCCTTTATTACTTCAGACAAAGGACACGCAGAGCCCTAAAACATGAATGAAAGTCAAGCCCATTGACACTTCAGGAGAAGCTATATATAAGTGTATGGTCCCTTTTGACTTTTAAGGACAAGCGGGCTAACCCAGATTTCGGAGGTTTCAGAAATCTTGAGCTACACCAAAAGTGGGCATTGCCCTATCTATAGATAGGAGAAATTTGGTTTCATTGGTGTGTATATTTGTTTGGTTTTAGAGAAAACTCTCCTTGTCTGTGGGTGGTTGGCGGGTGCTCTGGTGTGGTTTGCTTCTTCTTTCCTATCAAACATCTATCGTCCTTATCTCCCCTGCTTCTTTTTTGTGTTTGTTACTCTCGTGTAACACCTCTAAACTTCTGGCGCTCATATGACATTATGCAGTTGCGAGTGCCGTAAAATTCTGACGAAAAAACCAACACTTTTATGACCTAATTGTGTTGCAAGTGCTGTAAAACATTTACTAAAACTTGAGAAGAAGAAAAACAACAACATGAAGAACACGATAAAGACGAAGAAGGAAGCTGGAACGGAAGGAGCGGGGAAAAGGGTGATTGACAGATGATACAGTACTGTTTTAAAGCGTCATCAACTCGTAGATCATTTAGAAGACGGGCAAATTATGTGGGTGAATGGTTTACTTTACAGTTACAGGTTTCTTGCAGAAAATAAAATAAATATGTGGCCTTGTGTAGAAAGCAGGTACTCATCAAAATAATACATGTAATCTGATGATAACATTTAATCATAATTACTGCATGTATATAGAGCGCGTATACCCACTCTACAGTATGCTCATCGCTCTCTATAGACGTGTTTTATAACTATTGTTACCCAAGCAGACCGAAGAACACTCGAAAACATACTCAGCTTCCTGGGAAGCATACAGTGCAAGTAGCTGATTAAATATAAGTTCAAACTGACAAAAAATTTTTCTCTGTCTATAAGTCAAGTACCCATTACCGCCTGTGAAGTGAGGAAAATTTGTGTAAAAATAGTAAAATATTTTTTTCCAAGGACACAACACCAAGGCCCCTGACGTGATTCGAACCCACAACCTTTTGGTTATGAGCCCAACAGCATATCTGTCCCCGTCGTTTTATGCAAGACAAATTCTGAAATTATGCAAACAGAGCCCAAAAATGTGAAATTATGCGATTTTGTTAATTTTAACAAAGAATGATAAAGGAAAATAATCGGAAATTATGCCAACAAATTATAAAATTTTGCTTAATTATGCAGGGTGCATAAAACCACGGGGACAGGCATATCAACACTAGATTTCTATAGAAGAAATAACTCTAGACAAGAGAAAGGCGAAGTGGAGGACTGCCAAATTTTCTCTCGTTGACCTCTCCACAAGACACACAGCTCACTGCTCAGGCAGGGTGCTTAGGTCAGAGGTGAACTTTGAGTTAAACAAAGGATGAGGATGACATTTTTTTTGCTTTAATGAAATTTTGGTGTTTTTGTTATGCCCACATTGGCACAATTAATTTAGATGATTCATTGACTGGCGAAAATACAAAAAAAATTTTTTTTTAAATCAAAGAAAATCAGGAGGTTCAGGAGATTTTGGTTTAGCCGACTTCACTACATCACAAAATAAGCTTTATATTGTTGCTGTCACTCGTCATTGTCGTGTGTCAAAAAACGGTTTTTCAGAAGCAAAAAACTTTTTTTCAATCCTCAATTTGTTTAAATGTTACTAGATTTATTTGTATGAAGAACAATGAGACTAAGACTAATCGATACACCTCATGACCGTCTACAACATTTATTTGATTTCCATTTGTTCAAAATTTTGACATACAACAATGTAGAATGTCAGGGAGGATCTACCCTGCATATACAGTGCATATAAGGTCATCGTCAGGGCCAGAAAAAATGTCGTTATAGAGAGTTGTCGTTATTGAGAGAGGAAACCAAACACATCACTAATGATATAATAAGGAAAAATCGGGACTTGGGCACCATGTTGATATGTAGCTTATCTTTACAAAGGATGTTGTTAGTTCAGTTTTAGTAGAGGGTTTTACGGCGCTCGCAACTGAAAAAGGTCATATGAGCGCCAGAAGCGCCAGAAGATTAGAGGTGTTACAAGAGAGTAACAAACATAAAAAAAAGAAGAAGGGGAGATAAGGACGATAGATGTTTGATATGAAAGAAGAAGCAAACCACACCAATTGGCGCTCATAAGACCTTATGCAGTTGCGAGCGCCGTAAAACCTCTACTATAACTAAACTAAAACCACACCAAAGCACCCGCCAACCACCCACGATGTTGTTATATTGAAGGTCGTTATAGAGAGGCTGCAATATATGTAACAAGTACCCCCGAGTGTGTGCGTGTCCAGTTGACCTTCACCTACTCAACAAAATGTGTCGCACCCCCTGCTACTTGATTGC